TACATATAACAAAACCACAGTACCTATGATTTTCTCATCTATCAAAATCACATTTTCTCACCATGTTATTACAGATATCTCAAAATGCCATTTATACACATTAGTACTCTAGTTCTTGCCACCAGATCACATGTATTCAAACTTGCTGTTTCCAGATGGTATCACAATATCACTGGTTTCCTTTGTAATCCTATGGATTTTATGTGTTTTAAAAATATTATTCTCAGAAAGGGCCTCAGGTATCACCAGACTGCTAAGAGGACAGATGACTCAAAACAAGGATAAGAATCCCTGGCAGAGATGTCCTCTAGAACCCCTTCCAGCTTTAAATCTTGAGACCCTATGATTCTTTCATTGATGATTCAAAGTGACATAATAGACTAAGGCCAGATGCTTATCTAAAAAAAATAGAAGCAAAGAGGCCTCCCAGGGAAAGCCGGATGACAGAAAAGCAAACAAGCTCCTGTGTAATTTGGGCCAATCTATATCTACATGCTGGTGAATAAAGGAAATTGATGTTGAATGAAAAGTCATCATTGGTTACATTTTGATTCATTACTACCCACCAGGGCTCCATCTTGCCCACCTACTCTTCACCTTACCCCCATGAAAATGAATGACAGAACCATGGAGTGAGCCTGTGTACAGTGTAAAATGTCAAAATTTGGGTAGAGCAAAATTTAGTGTAGGAAACTATTCTCAACTCTGGCCTGCCAAATGTTAGGAGCTATTATATATAACCTGACGTTTAAATGGATTCCAGAGTCACCAGCAGCAAGGGCTTCTGAATGTATAGCCAGTTTAAACAACTCAATCCAGCACAGGAAAGTGCTCCAGGAAGTCAAGACCTCTGACCTTCCTCCTTAAATAACACAAATCCAAGAATCTAAATGCAAACGTGGTAACAAATATAAGGCATATTCATCTTGAGGCTCAGAACATTTCCTCTTGGCATGGAACCAATTCAGTCCTTATAGTCTAGTTAACAAGTATTTGTGGAGAGCTCACCGGGTGAGTAGGACTCTTTACCTGGCAAGTATCCAGGCATAGAGAACAAAATCAAGGACTTTTAATACCAACAGAAGCTGTTCTCACTGAAAATCCAAACCAGCTATCAGATGCAAATGTCTTTATATTAAGGGACTATTACCAAAAGAAAAGAACAGTATGAAGGAAGCATTTTGGTGATGACAGCTTCAATACAACCATCGGCAGCAGGTGACTTTCTGGCTATTAGATGCCTCCAGCTATACACTACCCCCCAAAAAACCTCTTCATTTTCCCTCCCCTCATATTTCTGTCTCTGTCTGTCTCTGTCTCTGTCTCTCTGTCTCTCTACTAGCTACTGAGGGTGAAGTCTGTTCTCAGGAAGATCCACCAACATTTAAGATTCAGGGCTGGAATGAAACGAGACATTCATAGACAACATAACCTGTAACAAAAGGAAGTTTACTCATTAATAGCCTGGGAAGGAAAGTTAGCAAAAGTACAAAACAAGTCTCTTGGGGTGCTGCTCCCTCCACCTCCACGTTTGCCACAATGGTGGGCCCTGCATGGGAAGTGGGAAGTCCATGAAGCCTGAGGAGCCCAAATTACTTGCCTTTACAAAGGGACAGAGCTCTTACACATTGGGCAATTAAGGAGGCTTTGTTAAATGTTCCAGCTTTAGTCCAACAAACCAAAGGAGTCTTGGGATGGTTTTAGTGCCTTTGCAGAGAAAAACTAGCCAATGTGGCATGTAGCCACATTGGACCATTCCTGTCCATAGTCCCAACCAAATTAGAAGTTGTTCCTACCACATAGATGCTAGACAAAGCAAAAAGTGGATATTGTCTCTGCTTTCTCCAAGATGGACAACATCTATGCATATGGGGCAGCTGAGGCACAGTAGATACAGCAATGGGCTTAGATTTAGGAGCATGGAAGTTCAAATCCAGCTTCAGACACTTACTAGCTGTGAGACCCTGGACAAGTCATTTAACTTGTCTCCGTTTCTAAACTGTAAAATGGGAATAATAATAATAGCACCTGTCTCTCGGGGTTGTTGTGAAAATCAAATGAAATCATATTTATAAAGCTCTTGGTGTAGTGCTGGGCACAGTCGGCACCTAACTGAGGTTTATTCTCTCCCTTTCCTCTTTCATATGAAGATAATTTTTTAAAGTTTTAAACAGATTTTATGGATGAGGAAACAGCTGACACTAATGAAGGATTTTACAGATCACAAAATACTTTCCTCACAACCAGCCTGTACCATTTTAGAAATGATGGAACTGAGGCATGGGAAGATTAAACAGCTATAAAGTGGCAGGGCCAAGATCTGAACCTAGGTTACCTTAATCCAAATCTGATGATGTTCTGGTATTCTCAGTACAATGAAGAAACTGCACATGGAAGCAGGGAGAGTCTGTTCAAAACAGATCCCCTGCCCTGATTTCTACCACAACAACTGAATCTACAATAACATCAACTACTGACATTCACGGTAGGAGGATCAAAGGATTTAGAGCTAGAGGAGACTGTGGAAGCCATTTAAACTGTAAACTCCTTCAGTTTAGAGATGAGGAAACTGAGGCCCAGGGAGATAAAGGTTATACAGAACTGTGATTTGAATCCGGGTCTTCTAACTAACACAGAGTCAAGGTTTTTTATGCCACAATACTTTATATATTCTCTCTTCTCTGATCCTCAAGTCATCACTGTGAGGTATACAGTACAGGTATCTTCATGCCTATCTTCAGATGTGAAAACTGAGGCTTAGAAAGGGTGATTTATGCAAGGTCACACAGGTAGTAAATGGAAAAGCCAGTATTCAAGCCTAGGTCTTCTGACTCAAAATAAAAAACACCATCAAACATTCTACAACTACCAATGAATAAGAGAAAGACAGACTCCTTTTTGAACATTTAAACTTCAAAGGGTTTCCCTATGAATCTTCTGTGTTGAGTCCTTAGGGGGAGGGGAAGTTTTGTTTCTATTTCTGGCTATAGGGCAAGTCATAGTTCTGCCCTTTTTGATGGCAAATTGGAAGGACATCCCTGGGATAAATTAGAATTTCCAACCAGACTATGCCTATCTCCTGGCACTGTCTCCTGTACTATCATCTCTAGGTGATGAATCCTTTTAAGGATGACTTTCAATCTTTCCCACAGGACAGCTAGGTGGTATGGTAGAGAACTGGGTTTGGGGTCAGGAAGACCTAAGTCCAAATCCTGCCTCAGACACTTACTAAGCTGTATGACCCTGAATAAGAATCATTTTAGGTGGTGGTGGTGGTGGTGGTGGTGGCAGTAGGAAGAGGAGCAGGAGGAGGAGAAGTAAATGCACCTACTTCCCAGAGATGTTATAAAAATCAAATAAGGTAATATTTGTAAAGCACTTAGCACGGTGCCCCGCACATAGTAGGTGCTTTATAATGAACTGTTACCTATTATTATTATGGGGAAATGGCAATGTTCTAGAATCCCTTCCTCAAAAGACACTGTAAAAACACTATAACACAATTCAATGTATAGCAAAATTTTGTAAGAAAGACAGATCTTTCTTAGATACTTTTTAAGGGAGTTCAGTTACACAATAAAAGGTCTTCATTACAAAGCAGTCTCATCTAGAAAGTCATGGCATAGTAGAA